ATTAACATGGCTGCCGCTTTTTTCCGGCTTGGAGATAAGCCGGAGAAAAGCGCCAGTTTAGACGTGATTCTCCGGAAAATAAAGCCTTTTCCAGAGGATCTCTTATTCCTACTTGAAAGGAATTCCTAGAGAATCACGTCTAGACTGGCGCTTTTCTCCGGCTTATCTCCAAGCCGGAAAAAAGCGGCAGCCATGTTAATGCAAATACCGTGGGGGATATTTAAATCCCCCGCAGATTTGCCTATTCCAAAGTGCTACATTAGCATCCCTTTTCCGGGAAGGGATGCCAGTGAAGACACAGCCGAAAAGTAATTGAAGTCTTACAAACAACTCTCCTGTTAATTCACCCCAGAATATTAGCCTGTCACACAATTTTATCACATTGTTGACTCATTCAATTTGCCAACCGCTACAGCACCAGATCCTTTTCCATCAGGTTTATGATCCCCCTTCAAGTCTGGCCTGCAAGGCCTCTTGGCTGAGGACATCTCCTCTGACCAGGGTCCTCTTTTTCTCCCTCCAGCTGCTAGCTACACCTGGCCCCAGAATGCTCCAGCCCAAGCACTGCTGCCATTCTTCCAGGCATGCAGATCCTTGGGCCTCTCCTGTAGTCAGAGTGGCTCAGTTCCGTTCAGCTCAGTCTGTTCCTGTGGCCCATGAAGCTCCCCAGCTCAGCCTGGGATTCTGCTTCCTCCTTAGCTTAGCCCACTATGGCCCAGGCAGCTCAAGCCAACACAGAAGATGGAAACCCTGGAGTCCTGAGTCCCTCATTAGCCTGCCCACCTGCCAATCAGGGTGACCTAGAATATTTGCTTCTCCTCATTTCCCCCTGTCAGTCTCATGACCTGATTTCCCATCAACCCATCCCCTTTCTTTTGGTATTGGAAGATGACCAACTACCCCTTCCTCTCACACACAACAATTTCTTATGTTAAGCAGAGGGTCTGGCCCATAGAACTTAAAGTGAACTTCTCTCCTGAAAAGTGACTCTGTAAAACTTAACATAGTGTTCCATGTTCATTGTCCCCTGATTGTTTTCACATCACAATCACATATTCATTTTTACAAGTAAGCAAAGGTATCACCCCACCCCCAACTCTTAGCTCTTGGGATTCAAACTGGATTCTTTCCATCTCAAACAAATCCAATGACCAAAAATACAAACATTATTTCAGTTTATCATTTCATACTATTTACAAGTGTTTATTTTATATATACACATATGTGCTTGTGCTTCTGGTGTCCATCCCAGAGAAAGCAAAGCCGGTTAAATTAGTTTAATTAACTGGATAGACTGCACGTGGGGGATAGCCAAGGCTTGAAAGTTTGATTGAAGACTTAAAAGTCTTCTCGGTTTAGCTGAGAAGGAACAGGCAGGGCTTGTATAAAACCAGGAAGTTGGGAGCAGAGCTGGCTACAGAGAAAGTAAACGGCAGTCACTCTGTAGAAGATGGATGTGTGTTTGGGGTTAAAATATTTAGTTTGCAGTTATTCCCTGAGTGGAGGGAGTTTGGGCTGGTAAGCCAGAAGGTGGGCAGAAGAGAGAGCAAAGAAGTAGGAAAAAAGTCCAAGGAAATAGTAATAGGATGTGAGAACAAGCAGATAATAGTTACGCAAGTGGTGGATTGGCCTGTCTTCTCCTATTCGTTGCTGGGAAGGTAGCAGAGAATCTACCTGTGGCTTGGAAGATAACCAGGAGTGGATGAGGACAGTTTACCAGTGGGATTTTGATACTTTGATCTACACATGGTGACCTGGCTGGAGAACTGACTTGCAAAGAGGAAGTGTGTGACATCCTAGTGAGCAAGTGGGCTATGGTGAGGGTCAGATGACAGAAGGGGATTCTGGATTGGACCTAAAGTAACCAGGGGTAGGTGATCACAGCAGAGAGTGTATCCTGTAACACATGCTTGTATCCTATTAAAGCAAGACAAACTATGAAACTTAATATATTTTTCAAATACAGTGAAAGCATGTACAGAAAATTTTCCCTTCAAAAGCTCAGAGGTGATTCTAGCTTTAACATAGCAGACAGGAATATTAAGTGAGCAAAATTTGAACTTTGCCTTCCATACTTAAAGCAGGGAACAAACATGAAAATAGTCTCCAACCAATGTAAAGTGAACAGTAGAGCTCTCATTGACCCAAAGAATCAGGTCCAAAGACCTTTACCATTGCTATTGGAGTTAAATTCTTAGCTTTTGCTTACTAAGTTGCTTTTCACATTTATGATAGCTCCACAATTGGCTGCAGTGCACCTGTCTTTTTAAATCAAAGTGAAGGTGATATAAGCCAGTTCATGCCAAACACTGAGAACTTCCCAGAATGTTAGGAGCACTCAATTTCTCAGCACTTTGCTATATGATAAAGGATTTAATTAGGACCCTTCACCCCCACATCTAGGACACTAAAATGATTCACTTTATTTGGTATGCAGCATTTTTCTGAAATGGTGAAAAACTGTATGGCTGGAGCTTAAATTTTTTAGCTAAACTGTGTTTGCAAAATGCATATTTTGGATAGAAAATTATAAAGTGTTTGGGTATGTGTGAGTGTGGGCACAATACCAAGAAATGTTTGCTTGACTTACCCAATCCTGAAAGAGACTGGTGTTGATATCACTGCTCTACAGCCAAAATGCTTCTGAAATAAATGTAGTCAAACTTTACTAATTCTGGGTCACTGAGAACGAAAATGATGCTTAAAATTGTTGATTGGTTCTAGTTTTCAAGATATGCTATTGGGTCAGTATATACGACCCTTGACTTGCGAATGGCGGAGGATAAGTGAGTTATAAAGGGAAGGGATCTCAATTTAAACCAGAAATGACTAAAATACAACTTTGACTGGATCTATGAATAAATCTATGACTGGGTTTGGACAATACTTGCTTTTTAAGCAAAACAATGAATGATGCAATCTGAAGCTGGTATTGCGTCATACATGATATGAATTGCATCATGTTATTCCTAGAAGTCATGGATGATGCAATCATAATGAAGCTTACATCACTCTGCTGAACAAATTGCCCTATATCAGCTCTAGAAAACATACAGTGTCGTGCTCTCTTATTTGTCAGTGTTTGATTTTGCAAAGGGACACATTTCTGTTTAGCCAAAGTGAGCAGAGATGCCTCGTACTTGTGTGAACAGTGCAGATAACTTCTGCTATGTTTGTGTGAAGTGACTTTTGCATCACAAAAGCGTAGTATAACCACTATGGTTAAGAAAGCCTAACACCTTTATTTTGGCTGCAAAATTGGAGCTCAGGACAAGAGGTGGGCCCCACACATATGCTGCAACACTTGTGCAACAAATCTT